TACTTCTTTAAAACAGGCCTCAGTCAAGGTGATCACATGACTGAAAGCTGTCCTGTGTTACCAAGTAATATCTAAGAAACTTGTGTAACAGAATTGAACTTAAACAAACTCTCTGATGGCGCAGGGCGTGCCGGTTTTTCTATAAAAGGGAGTATATCAGCAATTCTTAAGTAGCCTACCAAGACAAGAAACTAAGAGGCAGGATATGCATAAAACATTTGGAATACTGATACAGAATATTATAAATCTGTGGTTTAGATGATGATATCGATATCTTCAAACTCCCAGTGGAGAAGGAAGAATACTTTTTAGATCCTCTTTGGATTGTCTCTATCCCTCGTGCTTGATTTTTCAATTCTAATCAAACTTTCATGAATGATGGTCACTTATAAAGAGGTACATTTTGTCTCTAAAATCATGAAGACTGTCTTGCAGTACTTCATTCATTTGACTAATGAGTTGTTCTGCTGTTCGGTGGTATTGGTTTTCAATTTGGGTTTTTTTAATATTCATTTTGTTTTGTTTTTCTAACCCTCAGGATTAAAAACGTGCCAATCCTTTTGGGAAATGCTTTTTTGAACAAAAAAACCTGGAACACTTTCAAAGGTGAGATTAGACACTTTATAAACTTCCCCCTAAGGTCTTAGATGGCAGTTTCACACTAAATACATCTTTGTGTTGTGGCTCTTTCTGTTATAAATAACACTGGTTCATATTAAGCATTTGTGTTATCCAGAAAGCTAACTGCTATTGTTCTGAGCGGCGCCTAGCAGTAAGACTTATGGAAACCTTACTAGATCCTGAGCTGGATAGTTGCCAAAGAGCTTTACATGGAAAATCAACACCAGCTCCTGTTCCCACCTGACACCAACTCAACAAAAAGAAATCCCTTGAGCATGTATAGATTAAGGATACTGTGAAAAATGTTGCTTTAAATCGACCAGAACAAATACGTGTCCCTGCTTCTTTAAAGACCTGTATAATATGATATTACAACAGTTTTATCTGCATTAGAAACAAATTACTTTACCTTTGCATTTACATGAACTCTCGCTGCTGAGATTAAATGAAAAATGTGTAACTATGCCAGTTCACTAAGGGAAATAAGGATCCAGACATAATCGGGAATGAGAGCATCTTTTGTTACATGAGGTGGTGGTTTGTAGAGAATCTAAAACTCACTGATCAAAGAGGAATGGGGTGGGTGGTCAGGAAAGACCACACTTTCATTAAGTCAAGGATCTACTCTCCGTCTTAACACCATTTAAATTACCTGAGCTGAAAGGGCCTAGTGTTGGGCCCCATAAATAATGACTCCTTCCTCATGCTGTGCTTATAATCAAATGAGTACAGGTTAAAGAAGGTAAATCCAGCCTCTGCTGAGAGCTGAAGAAATTACAATACCTCTTTCTTGCAGTACGGCATATTCAGTCATTCTTATTATCAATTATTACCATTTGTATTCATATCATCACCATTTCTTGAAAATGGAACAGCGCAATTAGTTTGAAAGAAAACAATTAGAAGGCAGGATTGAGCACATTGAGGTGGATTAAAGACTCAGTATCTGGGCAGCTATAGCCTCAGGTTAACTCACCAAGGTCAGATTTAGTCAAAGACAGACAAAAAGGCCACTGTGCTGCTGTGAAGCCATATCACAGATTTAGGTGGTGTTCACAAACAGTGCACCTGCAGATATCTGGCCTGTGTGACAAGGACAAAAGATGCAGGTCCACCCCCTGCGCCAAAAGGTTAAGGAAAAAAACACAACAATAGGATTCTAGGTATTTTTAAGCAAGGCATCCTATGTCTATTCACCCAAGAGCTTTACATGTCTTTAAACCAACAACCTGACTAATGCTATCGTTCATCAACACCTCTTGCTTTTACGTGTGTACTTTTCATTTTCTGTGAAATGTTCACAGCAAGCTTTTACTCTCATGAGACTGGGAGAGCCAGCCCAGATTAGCTTTGCACAGCCTGACAACCAGCAACAAACAAAAAGCATGCCACACCTCTCTTGTTCCACAGGGAGCAATCAACCTGCAGTCTGAGACATCCTAGTAGAAGCATTAAATAATGGAACACAGTTTTACATTAGATCATTGAACACCATGAGGCCTTGAAAGGGAAAGCACAGATTCAATCAATATCCACTACAACCCCTTTTGTTGGGAGAGTTGCAGTTAAGCTATACTAAAAGATCATCAGACAGATCAAACATGAAGAAAATACAGAGCCACCGGTGGGGAAAGGCTTTTCCCCACTCAATTTGCCAAGCTGTTGAAAAATGTACTTAGTCTCTTTCTCACTGTAGTGCTCCCCATTATATGTTTCATTTGTGTCCACTTGATTGTCTCCTCCATGATTTCCTGTTTGTGTTGTTATCATGTTCTGTTGCCTATTAGCCTTTTCTTTTTTTTAACAAATTGAACGGTGTCCTTGGGTGTCATGAAAGGCGCCTACAAATAAAATGTATTATTATTATTATTTATTGTCGCGCTGTGCCCAACTATGATGCAAATAAAATTCTATCAAAAGGAGACAACTCTATTACTTTTAACACAAACTATAAGAGATTATCTAGTCAGAGAACAACAATGTGTAGTCAAACATTGTGTCCTCTGCCTTTGTGGAGAATAAGAACTGTATTTGACAGTCAAAATATTATGGCCAGTGTGTCACATGTAAACATTTTCAGACACCCACCAAAACAGAGTTGAACTGCGCTGTATGGCTTTTCAAGGGGTTAAAAGGTGTCTGATGTTTACACTGATGACGTGCAAATGTTAGTTGCTTGTATACAACACTGTTTGCAGCCCTCCCACTTTTCTCCTCCTCCTACTGAAGTCCACTACGACATAAACAAGTCAGTAGAAACGGTCGAGAGTCTGAGCTTAATATTAACTAGGCCTATTTGGTAAACATGAGAATGAATAACTAAACCGGGAGAGGCACTGCAGTAGCTCAACCAACAGGATCATCATGGAATTCAAATGAATGTGTGCAAACGAGGCTTCAAGTCTTTAACCAGAGGCATCATTTCGCTACTCTACTAAGCAGTTGCTGTAGAGGCTCAGTTAACATATACCAATAGTCATTTATTTGCAGTTAGGTTGCAAACTAGCAACCAGACAAGGCTGGTAAAGATATACAATCTAATGCTGCAAAACCTTTACTAATGCTACCTCTTGCATTACTTTCGTCGCCACTGATTTTGTGGATCTGCTGTTACTATATGGGAGTAAAAAATAGAAGAAATGTCTGTATCGAGTAATGTGTTAACCAGAAAGTGCAAAGAACTCTTCTGATGTCAAGAGAATATATATATTTTAACGCAGGAGCTATTTTCCAATCAGTCAGTGAACAAAAGTCTGATACTTCATAACTGCTGTTGAATAAAGCTCCACTTCATGCACCTGCTCGGGTACTTATTTTGCCAAAAAGTTACTCACCACATGGCTGTTGGCAGAGTAAAAGGTTATGTTTTAATTAAAGTCGTTGCTGTCTTGTTTCAGGCAGTTGTCATTTTATTACACTGACTTATTAAACATCACAAAGGACACATTTGGATTCTGTTCAATCCTGGCTTTTTCTTCACCACAGTTTTATATTAGACACCGGTTTCCTGTAAAACAGTTTGTTCATAACATGGAGCTAGTTTCTATTTAATGGCACTTTTTTCCTTCTTGCAGATATCATAAAGGGATGTGACAGAAAAGTAAATCACCCAAACTGTACGTCATGCTCATTTGATAACTTCCTACTTACTTCTGACTTCCTTAACGTTAACCCACACAGTGCATTCAATGAAAATAGTCTTCCTAAGATGACGTATAGGAAATATTAAAATGTGTGTTATCTTAATGTTACTGTGTTCAAGAAATACGTTGTCGCCATCAAGAAGCAAACTTGTGAAACTAGAGTAAAAAGCAGTCCACGTCCTTAACATGCTAAGCTAGCTATCGTTAGCTTCCTGGAAATGTAAATGAAACGTCACATTATTGGTGAAATGTTTACAAAATGGTCAAAGGTTAGAAACGCCTAATACAATTACAAACATTTAAGGAAAACGTACAATGTGTATTGTTACTTTTCCAGATACAAATTACACCTGCCAAAAGTCTGCTAACAACAAGCTACCATTGGTATTTTTCAATGAAAGGGCAGCATATCAGGTTGACACCACAGCAGTAGCTCCACCTTGGCTGACATGATTTTGTAAAATTAAAGTTGATATTAACAGCGTTAGCACAAATTGTCGAACTAAAACGATAGGCCATTTACAGGCTGGGCATGACACCTGCATCTGGTCGACGATTGATCTGGACATGATGCAGTTTTAGGCCTTCTTGGAGCATTTGGATTATCAGGCTAGCGCCTCCACGGTGGCGTTAGCTAGCTACCTGACGACTCGTTTGCTTCTCTGTTACCTAGCCCGAATATTGTCTAAACTACATGGCACATTGTAAGGAACCTTCTAGGTGGTTCTCTATATAAATATGAAACTTAGAGTTGGCATAACATGTTGTCACGAAGATTATGACTGCGTGGAAAGCCACTCCACGTAAATGGCTATTGAGCTCCACATCCCTAGCCCAGCAGGTAGTTAGCACGGCTATGAGACTTTAAGCATGCTAGTTAAGTTAGCTGCTGACAGGCACAACCCCGGTGTACTGAGGGCTGCGACTTCCTATGCAGCGACACAGTGAGAGTTGTCAACGTAGATACAAGCAACCCCCTGACAGTTATTCACACGTAAAGACATTTTCATACATTCCTGCCGATAAATTATTATTAGAACATACTCACTAGCCGTAATGATGCCAGAAAATAGCTGGAATCGTCTCTATTAGCAATGGAGGGAGGAACACACTAGACATGCAAAATGGTGGCTACTCCAGCCTCAGCACATCTACCGCAGGCGGAGGGTTACACTGACATATCCCAGAGGTTGGAGAAAGAAGCGCGGACAGAGTGTATCATCCATAGGTATCATCCCCGTACACAGTATCGATAGCTTGTAGAAGAGGACTTCTCCAGTCTCTGCAAGATACATCTGATATGCCAGTGCTCACTGGACACCATGGGTAATAGTTGAATTATGTCTTCATGATAAGAGATGTATCTAAGTTGCTGTTAATGCTGGTGATCATTTGCTTGTCGTCGTCTTGCTAGTAAGCTTGTTCTCGCCACTGACTATAAAGGGCTAACGTGCGGCTTGTTATCTTTAGCCAGCTAGCTAATGTTATCTAATTGATCTTATAAGCCTATTGGCTCTCTATTAATTCTACTAATCGTGTGTAACGTGACTTTAAATCTGAGCTCAACCGCATGCTGTCTGTCTCTAACATTGAAAAACAAAATGACACGATGAGATTATTTTGTTGAGATGGCAGTATTTTCTCTTAACCCTGCGGAAGAATACATTTTTACCCTGTCAATGTCGTGCTGCGGTCCGTTTACTCGTGGCAGTCAGTGATGACGAACACATGAAATGTTATGACAATAGCAGTCCATGTTTGGAGCGCCACCTAGTGGTAATGTGCTGTCTAAGGAAGTGCATCGTAGGTTGGGGCTTGATGTATAGTTTGTTTAGTGGTTGGAGAAGTGTTAAGAACTTTTATTAAGTAATAGCACTAATACCACGAATATATGTTGTAATAGTGGATTGTTACTATTGATGCAGTAACATGCATTTTGTAAAGAGTTGAAATAGTGCTAATTACATTGTTTTGTACTGCTAGGTGGTTATATTAGCTGTATAACAATGCAATGCATGTGACTCATTAATTTGTGTTGTTGTTTTAAAAAGTGCAGTTTTTCTCTATGAAACCTAGTGGAATGGAAGTAGTAGTAGTAATTTACTTTATTGATCCCAATTTGGGAAATGTTTCAATCTTAGCAGCATTTAAACAGCATTGCACATAATGTGAAAATGAAAAAGAGTAGAAAACAAACATACATATAAAATATAAACATCTCAAAATAGATATTACAACAGAACTAAAAAGTAAAATATATACATATTGACATTGAAAGATACACATTTGTGGACTATCTGTCAAATAAACACAATGTAAGATTTATAACAATTTTAAATGTTCAAGTAAAGTATCGCTAAACTATACTTGTATGGAGTACTAAGGATCACATATTGTCAAATTGGGTCTGTTTTTAGATGAATTGGGATCAAATGTCACAAAATTGAATGGGAGTAACTTAACAGTTAGCTATAATCAATAATGAATCAACAACAGCGATAATCAAAAGGCTTTTACCAAAAGCATTGGTTTAAAAAAAAAGGATATGAGTCCTTGTTATGATTCTAAGAGCAATAGCAGTGATTGGGATATCATGTGAAGACTTTGGTTGAGCCTTTTTATCATGTATTCACAATTTCACATCCCTGCTGTCATATAACTGTCCGAGAACATAGTTCCTGCTGATTAGGAGGCCAGAGTTGGAAATCACCCAATTAAATGATAATAGTTTGTTTAAAAATGTAATGCCAATTTTCATGTGCAATGCGTTCATTCAATTTGGCCTTCTTCTTGAATAAATGCTATATTTTGTTAAGCCTCATTTTGCACAGCACTATTGTCAGTCCTACCTGCAGACTTTAGAATGTATTAATCAACACTTCAATAAACACACACACTACCCACCCATTAAGTCACTTTTTTAATATTTTTGAATATCCAGCCCAGGGGCTTATCATCTGAGTGAACAAAACGCCTATCAGCATTATTTCACTCTAGGCGCCTTTATAATACAGTAGGAACACAAAGTTAGGCACATAACCTTGCTGTGTCAATCTTGAAAATATTGCTGAAAGGGTCCAGAATTATTCAAACCATAACCTTCATCATCTGCCGATAAGACACCGTTAGTATATTTTAGATGATAAGTGACAAAATGTTGCAGTTCAGAAATACCAGAGATATCTTTGTGGTCATATAGAGGCAGTGTCGTCTTTGGGCTATTTGTCCACCAGAGAGCACTGACAAGTTCGATTTTCAAGTGTAAAATGTCCTGCCTACAATTTGATCACAATCATCATGACCAAGTTAACGGATCATTATCAAACATCTTTGTGTGATGCGTAGTTGAAACAAATTTAAGTCTATTATTTGTCATCAGATATATTGTTGGTGCATGTTCGTAGAGCTTTATTTGATACATTTGTGTAACACAAAACATCTGCTTTTTTATTTTGTAATGTTTATTTTAAACTATGAGAGGATACTGCTTCCTGTTGCGTTCTGTGCCTAGTTGTCATGAAGATGAATCCGCTGACACTGCAAGCTCATTAGCTGTTATGGGTTTAGGATTTAGCCCTTTTGAGACTTGTAAAAGCAAAGTATGAATGTCAATTTCATATTTAAAAAAAGTAGTTTGGCAAATAAGGACACTAACTACTATCCTATTACTGTTATACATCTACTTGCAGCTAATATTGAATATGACAACATGTCAAAAATAGACTACTTTCATTTGGGAGTAATTTAGATTAATTTAGACACTGAAATATGTGGTCACCCCCGAATATCTTTAATTTGAAAGAAAAGCAATCAGATTCGTTTGAAGATTTCTCTTTATTGTAAAATAAAAAAATAAATAAAAATGGTGGCAGAATGTTTTGTTTTTTTCTACTTCATTTAATATATATATTTTTTTAAAGATATCAGCAAAAAGGCACATCACATCAGTGTTCATTTAAAATAATCAAATTACTAATTCTGTTTTGTGTTTTCAAATTAAATTCCACATTTTATACGATTGAGGTAGTCTATGTGGTAATTGTGTGTAGTTTCTTACCACTTTCGTTTTTATTTCTCCCACACGACTTGAACGCACCACAGTATCTTTAGCATGAACTCCCCATCGTCTCTTCATATCCCACAATCCTGTTCGGTGTGTCTTCGCTGCTGTTAAAGATCAGCTGAGCGTCGCTGCAGTGAGTCCAGCGGCTCGGGTCCGCTCGGTGTCTCTCTGCTCGGGCATCTTTTAAAAAACACTGATCGACCGGAGACGGGGATTTCTATTTTACCGGCCGCAAGAATGTGACTCTTTCATCTATCCGGTTTTTGGTTTTTAACTCCGTAAAATGGTCCGCTGATCGAGTAGAGGAATTGATCACGTTTTTTATTTATTTATTAGTATTTCGTTCCTCATCTGTCCCCTCAGTGCGGAAAACACCTGGACCGGTCTCAGAGAAGCAGTGCGGGGTTAGGAGGAGATTCCAGGGTTTTTACAATATATAATATGTCCAGGCGAAAACAGAACAATCCCTTCAAAGTTGACTGTAGGTATTCCAGGTATTGTTATTTATCCATGTCACGTCCATTATCCGTATGCACATCTTGTAGCTTGTAATAGATGCATGCAGATGCGTTAAACCAAAGCAAGCCTTCAGTGGACATACTCCATACTCTTATGCATATACACAGTATATTGTTTTAGCAGCTGATGCTCAAATGTTATACATATGTTATTTAGTCATAAAAAACACGTCTTCTTGTTAGTGGTTGTGGTAGATATGATACTTTGATTTGCAGTTTGTTTGAGAATGCAGCACATTTGTTTGTTTCCCATTCCTCTTAATTTTTGCCAAGTGTTTTTATTGATATAGCTACACGTGTATGATCACTAAAAAAATTGAAATTAAGTAAGTGCACTCATTGTCTAAATCAAACTCTAGGTAAATGCAATAGAATACAAAAATAAATGATTAGTTTTGTATAAAAAAAAATTACTTGGATTAGCATATCAATGGTAATACTTAAATTCCTTGAAAGTGTCTGTCATTATTTTTGACAAATTCCACTATTGATAATGTGTTATTGTACTCATCGCCTTGCTTTTCCTTTTAAATTCTGCAAAGTTTCAGATGCATGGTGGGGGGGGGGGTAGTAGCTTATATCACTATTTGTATGTCTTACTAGAAGACTGGTGCGAAAGAAGCCCTGTGATGGTGTCTTTCTTCATTTCAGAGCTTTGGGCTAGTAATGTCTCTGGGTTTGGTTTTAAGCTGTCATTTAGAAAAAAAACACATGTCGGGATTTGATCAAAGGCAGATCTGTAGTGAACCTCAATAGCATATTGTAAACGCTGATCAGAAGGGACAAGCATTTCTGTTTCATACTGCATGCTGTCAATTTATTTGATCTGACATCTCAGTTCCAGCACATGATGACACGAAAGCAATACAAAGCATTAGATATTTGAGTTTTAATCAAATGTTCAAGTTCTTTCTGGTTCCAGCTTTTCAAATGCGTGAATATGGAAGATTAGTCCATAATAACAAAAAATATTATTTGCAGCCACGTCAACACACAAGCGATTTAAAATCTGTGCACTTTAAGATGACAGTTGTTGATGAATGTATGTTGTGTCCTTTTCCACAACTTAAGAATGAGATGTATAAAGTATTAATTGCTACTATAAGTTTTGTTTTGACTAACACATCTCTGTTTGTATGCATAGCTCACTGACATATTGCCAGTGGCACTACGCTGAACTGAACTTTTTTACATTTTAATGAAATATTGCCATACAAATTTGCAAAGTTAACTTTAATAGAACTAAGAAATACCTGGGAGACTTCGGATGTGAATAACCTACTAGTGGCGTCCCTCACTGT